CCTACCCTATATCTAGTAAATGCTAGAGCATTCGCCAAGGTACAGGATAGTTCTAGAAATCAGAGGGCGTGAGAATAGTCACGTGATCTCGCTGACGCAACACTACCAAATAAGAAGATAAGATAATTCTGAAATAATAAACTTTTAAGTATGAGCTCTATTTTAAACGTTAATACCCACTAGTTTATCAAGAATTATTAAAACAGCAGAATAATATTAATAATACTGTAGCTCACGTACCTACAAAACTGTCATGAACTGAACAGAAATGAGAAGTTTACTCTGTAATATTACTGTACACAGTTATAAAATTGATTATCTACAAAAATCCAAACTAAATTTTTTAACTTAATGTTTATTATTTCAATCATAATCCAAAATCCAATCCTACCTACTAATGTCTTAAACCAACCAAATCACTCTCAAAATAAACTGTAAATTAAAAAATTATATGATTATTATAATAATAAAAATTAATTTGTTTAGATTAATGATAATTACAATACAAAGCCTATTGATTTTTGTATTATTTTAATATTTATAAATATTATAATTAGTAACTTAACAAATAATGATAAAATTGAACAGCTGTATATGTTTAAATATATCAAGTTATAACACATAAAATAAAACAATATTATCAACAAGTTCAACCAATGTATCGTCTACCTGTTAATGTTTTTCGATAAAAGTAAAAACCTTCCCTCTATTCAAAACATACCACCAACCAACTACAAAAGGAGAATATCACGCTTGTTCTCAACAGCTGCGTTTCATCCCACAAGACAAAGACAAACGCCCTCTTTTTTATTGTTTATCATTTATATGTGTGTGTGTGTGTGTGTGTGTAAATAATATCCAATGGTCATAATATAACTCTAATTAATTAAAATGATAAGTATGTACATGTATTTCTAGTTGATTAAGAAATTTAATAATCGTGAGTGTTATAAGGTACTTTCTAATTTGAGAAAAGAATGGATGGCGGGATCAACCCTTGTACAACAGTAGCAGAAAAAATAATAATGTATCTCTTAGTTAACATAAACAACACGGGTTTGTATTTTTATTAAAAATTCGCATGTTTTCCTGCATTTATATGCCAGCATAGCCGTTGTTCAGGCAATTTTTATAAACATGTCAAATGACGCCGACATTATCATTAACTAACCTACGGCTGCATGTTAATAGAAGATAAACTAAATATGTTGGTTTAAATTATAAACGAGTAACCGATACACGAACTGGTCAATAAATTATTGTTATAAGCTGTGCTTTTAATATTGTAATTTAGATGTTAACTTACGTTAAGATCAAGCAAGTCCTAGAACACCTAAAATATTAGTGATCAACAGACTTTGCGAAACGTCCAGAAACAACTCTACAGATTAAAAAAAAAAAAGAGCAGACATTTAGTTCAGGAGTGGTGAATAGTGAATGAGTATATATATATTTTTAGTCCTAGTACCGTTAGCGAAGTATTTCCATTTGAGCAAGTTACAAGTGTATAAGCTTGTAGAATTAAGAAACAAACTGATGTATTATCGTTACTTGGACTGGATTTCAAATTATTTTCACCAACCAATTTAAAAGAAGCCGTCCAACGAAAAAACAATATTATTAATAAGAACTTCTGAGTGAAAGTAAAGAACAGCATTAATCCCACTATATATGCTATATCCAAGCCAGCTGGGTTTTAAACCCTAGATTTAAAAGTATTATGGAGGAAAAATATATATTTAAATATAAAACATAGTCTAGACTAATTTTGTTAATTCCAGAGAGCTTGCTCAGCACTACTAATTACTCTAAGAAAAATTAGGCACTCGTGGGCTAGACTGAAAATTAATAATTTAAAGGAACAAGCACAAGGCTGAAAAAATTAATGTTAATCTGAACAATGATTAAATATACTTGAAATGCTCCCTTGTTGCTTCACGCAGTCCTCTGGAGCAAATAAGCGTTATGAGACTACAGTTCAATAATTGAGGAGGGGGTCGCTGATAAATTTGTAAATTATTAAATCCTTTCAAAGACACAGCCACATGTCTTCAAAAATAACGCAGCTTAATTATTGAAACTGCACATTTCCAAATTTCCTCCTTCCCCTTTTTACCTTCAACTGCTTGTTGGCTTATAACATATTCTGTGTCCTTATAATTCACAGAATTTTCTTAGTTTTATGAAAAAAAATTTGCTTATCATTATTTTATTATAAAATCAAAAGATAATATTTTCAAATCACGTTTATGTTATAAATGTAGAGACATTTCCATTGTTTGTATTTTAATGTATGAACCCATGATTATTTATCTTCTGTTATTTGTTTATGCAGAAACTGTAAAAGCATATTTTGTAAAATTACATTACCTTACGTTATATTCTTTTGTATTAAGCACTAAAAGCATAAACTTGTAATGTTTTTCATCTCCAAAAAAATAATTTCGATATCGTATTTTCTTGCCATTTTGTTTATAAGGTCTTCATGTTTTTAAATCTTCCAACAGTGGGTTTTATTCAAATGTGAATAATGCAAACTTTTTCATGTGATACAGAACAATAAAATTCAATTGAATAAACCTTTGAATTATCTTAAGTTAAGCACAACATTAATTTAACTAAGTTATAATATTTGACCAATCACATA